GCTTCCCCCGAGGCTTTCAAAGCCGCGGAGGGGCTCCGGCGGCGGGGCATCCGGCGTACAAGACGACCCCCGATTTTTGGGGGATGTTTTTTAACATCAGAGGTCGTCTTGTACGCCGGAATATACGGTACCCCCAAAATACATTAACATTAAAGTTAATGTTAAGTATATTACTATAAAACATTAAATTGTTAAAATACTTTAAAAAAAAAGAGGCTACTGATTTTAAAATGTCAACTTTACCTGAGTATCCCATGAGAGGGGTCCTGCTTCTACAACCTGATCTACTAGATGAGAGAGGAGTTTTTCCCACCCAGGCACTATTTAGTCCTCTTGCAGAAGAAGAGCTTGTAAAATTCATTGTGCTAACATTTTCTGCATAAGAACTCTTGTCCCCAAAGTATGAATCTATGAAAAAAATGCAGAGCATATTTTGAAAACATAATACATAGATGGCATTGCTAAGTTACACAAACACCATAAAATAACAAAATCAGACATGAACCATTTTGTTTGAAAAGCGTACAAAGAAGGAAAAATAGTTAAAAGGCCATTACGACAACTTAATGGAGAAAGGTTAATATATCCAGTCAGAACAAACAAAAGAGCTTTGCTGTATTGATATTAATATTTATATAATCTAAGCATAAAAAAGTGAACTTCAGTAAGATTATATTCTGGAAGCCAACTCATACTGATATGATAATTTTTCCTTAATGTCATTACTTTATAGTGACAGCAAATTTCTTGCTTAGGATGTTATACTAATATTATGTGATAAAAAGCCAGGTACAATGAATAATTTCATATTTGAGGAATTTCTAGGTCTATAAAAGAAACTACTCTATTTGTCAGATTTTCTACCTGCAGTTGCCTGTCAATTTCACTAATATCTGAAGTTGTACTAAGAGCTTGTGGAAATTCCCAAGTCTGAAGAGAGTCATAAAGAAAATTTGTTTGCCTAATATTGAACACATATTTTAAACTAAATGGTAATAAAACCGAAGAGAAAGAACCATATTCAAAAACTCATTCAGTGAGAATTATCTTCTTCTGCCTCAGCTCAAAATAATGCAATTTAAAATTTAAGAACTTGTATGTTTCCCAGAATTTCTATTTTACTGATGCATTTTAAGATGGATCTGCACTTTAAATTCTATGATGGTGATTTAGCTCAGAATGTGTCCCATTTGAGTATACTAGAAACATTACAGAAAATACAAATCCTGCACAGACACTTGCTGTAGCAATGAAAGGGGTTTTTTGGTTGCAGTAGGAAATCTACCTCTTGAAGAAGTGGTAGCTACATTGACAAAATAATAGTTCCATTGACCAGGCAAAAGTAACACCAGAGCTTAGGTCAGCTTAACCACATCACATATGGTGTAAAATTTTCACAGACCACAGTGATGTGGTTAGATTCACCTAACTTTACAATGTAGACCAGGTCATCTGTGTTTATTTAAGATGTTTATCTGATTTTAAAACTGTTCTCTTGAGATAAATGCATAAATGTATAGACAAGCAAAAATCCATCTATCTGAAATGTCATTTACATTTTTTATCCATCTTGCGTTAAATAAAGCAAGATGAATCCAAAGTCCATATTAGATGCTTTAAAAAATAGTATTACCATAATAAAGCCTGTAAAATAAAGCATTGTATATGCTAATATTTTATGAAAATATGGTGCACTGGTCACCGAGATTGCACTAAGAAATTGTTAAATGCCTAATATATTTCCTGAAATGATCTCCAGATGGTTGGCACAAAAATGCAGTTTACATCAACACATTTATGTAACAAAAACCTTGGTCACAAAATACTGTGACTGAAATACCATTAAAGGACTTGACATTCACTAGTCCTTTGTACTCCCTAAAGTAACCATGTTTCTTTTAAGCAGTTGTTCCTACAATATACCAATTGCTGTACAATGACAATTGATTTTTTTTAAATGGCACCCACAGTATTAATACAAACTAGGTCTGAGTTTAAAAAACATAACACTTACACACAGCAGTACATTAGTTATTTTCCTACTAATAAAAAGAAAACAACCACCTAAGGGAAAGATGCCCAGCTAAGTACCAGTGGCAAAAGATTGAAGTACTCTATATGACTGTCAATAATTTATATTATATAATCTTTGACCCTTATGTCCTAATCTAGGTATATAATCCTGCACAAAACTGAGACCAGAGGAAGTTTAGACAATAGTTGAGCAAACTGTATTATGGGCTTCTACACCTCTACACAAACCAACTCAACATTTATATTCCACATATAGGAAAATACATAAGGTGTCTGAAACAGATTTTAGGTGTTGATTTTTTTACTAAATTAAATATAGATGGTGACCATATACCTCTGATCTAATGATACACACTATTATCCTCTTCCCCACCTGTATTGTAATGGGGTCCTGTCTCTAGTGAACACCTGAATGCTGCTACATATTCAATTGTCAGTACTCAACGCAAAATGCAGCTTGGGTGGCTCTAAATCCAAACCCATATTGTAGAGTCTCATATGATCCAGAATATGGAGTACTCCAAGCTTTACTATGGACAATAAGCAACAAGCAGGCCAGATGTAGTTCACCATGGTTAGCCCCTGGTAGGCCACTGGACACTTTATTTACCTATTCACCTGCAGGTATGGCCACTTGCAGCTCCTGTTGGCCACAGATCACCCGTTCCCAACCAATGGAAGTTGAGAGAAGTGTCGCAGACAAGGACCCCTCTTCCCACAGCACCCGTAAGCTGAGAACCGCGATCTGCAGCCAACAAGAGCTGCAAGTGACCATACTTGTGGATGCACAAGTAAATAGTGTCCAGCAGCCGGCCAGGTACTAACTCTGGCGAATCATGCCTAGCCCATGAGCTCCTTATTGCCCACCCCGGGCTAGAGAGCGTAACAAACAAAAGTAATCAACTGTGAGGCATGGGGGCTCAGCACAGGTGGTGGACTCCACCCTTGTTCAGTCTCAAGGACCAAAACTTGTACCATCAATCAATTTTTTATCATGACTTTAATGACCCTGTCTTGATGGCCAAAAAGAGTATGGTTTTCAACTGTTAGCTGGATGCAGCTTAACAAAACTGCATTTCTAAATAATTAAAAGGGCTTTTCAATCATGTTAAGATCTATTGAGCTAATACAACTGAAACCACACCTTTTTGACCCATCAAGTTAGGGCTTGCAGGAACAGGATCTAAGAGCTTATCTGTACAAAACTGTACCACTTTAACTATACTGGCATAGTTAAAATAGAAGCATCATTCCTAGTATGGATACAGATACACTGGTATAAAATGTAATTCCCTAAGGCAGTGGTCCTCAACCTTTTGGGACTGCCGGGCGCCGCGCATGCACCAGGCAGCTGGGGTGCAAGAATGGCTCGGGCCAGCCCTGGTCACTACGCAGGTGCACATAAATACCCCGGTGGCCGCCATGGCACCATAATGCCCGCAGGGGGGGACCACTGCTCTAAGGGAATCAGATTAAAACGCTACAGCTACATCTAGACTGGCATGATTTTCCACAAATGCTTTTAACGGAAAAGTTTTTCTGTTAAAAGCACTTGCGGAAAAGAGTGTCTAGATTGGCATGGACGCTTTTGCGCAAAAGCACTTTTTGAGGAAAAGCATCCGTGCCAATCTAGATGCGATTTTGTGCAAGAAAGTTCCGATCACCATCGGGGCTTTTTTGCGCAAGTTTTCAGCTGTCTACACTGGCCCTCTTGCGCAAAAACTTGCCAGTCTAGACACAGACTACTGGGATAAGGCACTATTATACTGGTGTAACAGTGTCTATACTAGAGATTGTACCAGAGTAACTATTTTAATTAAAAAGTTACACCTTTAATTAAAATAGTGATACCAGTACAAAAAGCAGGTATAGACCAGACTGTTAAAATGATGAAGCTACTTCTTGTAAAGAAACAGGATTGCTTGGATCAGCTGAGAACATTACCTGATATTATTAACACCTCCTTACACCCCCTCAAAACCATCTCAGGTAATTTAAAGTAAACTGTGAAGTCAGTTTAAAAAATGTGGGGAAATGTTTGGTTTTAGAGAGGTACTTTTTTGTATTTCTATGTTTAACATTGTATCACACCGCCCCACTTTTCGTTACAGGCGTGGTCGCAGATTCCCGTTCCGCTTTCCATGGGGCAGGGCCCGGAGAGGGCCCCGCTCCTCAGTGGGCAGGGCGGGAGAGCGGGCTAATGGCCCGCCAGGGCTCTAGGCTTGCTCAGAGCCCATCCAGGGGCCCGGCAGAGCAGGCGGGTGCGTGTGCAGGTTCGGCCTGCCCCGACTGCTGCTCCCCACCTCCTGCTGTCGTAGGGAACAGCCCTGGCGTGAGGCCGCTGCCCAGGGAGTCGGCCCCTGGCCGGGGATTGGTCGGCCCCGCTCCACCGCCTGAGAAGCCACCAGCGCTGCCCGCCGTGCTCCGGGGAG